GCTGGCATGTGCTCTGCAGGCTGTTTGCATGGGGTTGCATCCTTTGGGGGTGGGAAGGTCACATCCCCAGGGGCAGGAGGGGGATTTAGTTTTATGCCAGAACTGCCCCCTTGACTATAGAGGTCAGGGGGTGTGGTGGAAAGTTTGTCTATGCAGAATAGGAGGGTGGGGGAGAGGGTGCTGCATCCTGGAATGCTGGAGGACTGCAACTTGGGTGGCTTATCTGGAGGACTGGCCACACATTAGTGAAACATGGATCAGAGGTAAATCTGCCCTGGGGTGGTGTAACTTTAAGCACCTAAAGTGTGCTTAAAACTAATTTTAGGTGTTAATATGTGGACAGTCCATGGGTTAAGAACTCGAGGAGCCACTTAAAAGTAATGTGTAACAAGGCCCTTAGTCTGATCATTTATTCAGTTTCTTGAGCATGTTTTGAAACAAGTGCAGTGCAGCTGTGACTGTGCTGTTTAGTAGTAGCTGAGCTAGCTATTTTTAAAACCAGTTTGGGCATGTCTTCTGGAACTGGAATTATTACAGAAGTGTCTGCAGTGAAGATTTATGCATAAAGTACTAAATAGGGGCAGAATCCCATTTCCCCCGCCTTTGCAGATCACCTTTAACATTCCTGCGAATCTTGAAGCTGACAGACTCAGTTATCTGTGATGAAAGTCATGTCTCCCTACGTCACCTACATGAGCAAGGGTATAACAAATTGTATTCTGGATCCAACAGTCAATAACTTATAGCAGTTGCTTTTTAAAAGTACTTTTTCCTGCCCCATTCCTTCAGCTGTTGATTATACCTGAAAGGAAAAATTGCAAAGCAAATAATTTATTTTTTTTTAAGTTCCCTCAACAGATATGATATGCAGTAAGTATGAAAGCAGCGAGGCTGAAAAGACCAGTGATGTTTGCACTAGGTAGATTGAATTAGGGCTCCATTAATGATAGTCTTTGAAATTATCAAATAAAAATGTTTTGATAGTTCTTTAAAAACTTGCCAGCAATGTTTAGGGGTGTTGAGATTGTTCATTTCATGTAATGGCCTCTTACCGTAATTCCAGTCTGGATCAGAAAGCTGGTGAGTGTCCTGACATTTGTACACCCTTTTTTTACTCTTGTTTTGCCTTGTAGTATTGTAAGAATCTCTGTCTGCTTTTTGTGTAACTGCCCATTCATGGTGGGGTGTGTGCTCTCATTCTCTCACGCTGTCTTTCTTGTGCTGTCTTGCTTTCTGCATATTTGACTACATTTCTAAATTACCATTGATTTAAGTTCCTCATTTTTCAAGTGCTTGAATACAGAGGATTTTCCAGTTCCCTTTAAGGTGACTCAAGGTGGGCCACCCATATAGAAAATTTAGGTCATTGTATATAGTCCAAAATACTTGGAAAAATATAGTGAGAGATACTTTTTTCCTCTACCAAGTTCATGCAAGTGTTTTGATGCTAACAAATGGCAACTCCTCTTGCAACTAGGGATGTGAGTGGTTAAATGCTTAGTTGTTTAACTTTTAAACCCACTGATAACCAGTTCTAGCTTACCAGTTATCATTTAGTTCAGGGTGGGGCACAGTCCGGGAGGGAAGCAGGGGAGGGGAAGCCTCAGCAGGAACTAGAAGGCAGCAGGAAAGGAGGGCAGGAGGGAGAAGTGAGGAGGGAGGGGAGCAGGAGGTGGAGGGGTCACTAGTACCTATAGCTAGGCCCTGTGGACCCAGTGCAGCCACTTGCAGCCTCCCCACTGCCTGCCACAAGCAGCCTGGGCTCTGGGAGGCCCCTGCCACCCACCATAGAGCCCAGGGTGCTTGCAGCAGGCAGTGGGAAGAATGCAAGTGTCTGCACCGTGGTCCACAGAGTCTAGCTATTAGGTACTAGTCCCTTCTCCTCCTTATTCTGCTGTCCACAAGGAAAGCAGCTCAGCTCCCTCTCTGGGAGTAGGGCTTGGGACCTTTCCCTCTGTGTCGTGGTGAGGCTCCCACCCAGAAGCACTGGACAGGCCACCCCCCTGCAGGGCTGGAGATACATTGTCTGCTCCTTCCCTCCCAGCACACCTATGGCTGCAGTGGGCTGGTAAAGCCCCTTGTTCGCTGCTGCCACCCACAGCTTCCTGGGCTGTGTTGCCTGTCTGGTGGGGCTTGTCAGTGCTTTGGCCCCTAGCTCCTCACACTGCTCCAAGCAGGTGGGTGCAGCTCCTCCTCTGCAGCAGAGTAAGGCAGCTGCTAGCCCCAGGGGTCAGCACCTGTCCCCCCTACCAGTCTGATTTTGCAGAGCTGCAGGCTTGAGCCCAGCACTGCTGCGCCTGTCCCCATCCCTGTGTCCAGCCAGATGTTCTTCTTTCTGTTGCTGCAGCTGCTGGTGACACCTGCGACGGGCAAGCTGGAAGTAAGGAGGCATAGGGCAACTCCCCTGGACCTGCAGCTCAGCCCCATGGCATGTTTTGCCTACCTACTTTGCTTGCCTACCCCATCCACACCCAGGCTCAGACCTGGACCTAGACCCAGGCTCAGAGAAGACCCAACTGCCCAGTTCATCATGAGCCATGGCTCTGGGGTCCCGGGGAGCTACTGAGTCCCCACTGCACCTTGGGGGCCTGAAAGTGTTGGGTTGGGCAGGGACGCCCCTCAGCCTGGGCTGAAGCAGCCCCATGTGGGCCAGGCCAAGGGTTGCCATACTGATAAACCGTTGTAATTACAACAGGTTAAACAGATATTTTTTTAATCAACATTTATATCCCTGCTTGCAACAGAGGCAGGAGGAGACAGAATCTGCCTCAGATAATATAGTACATAACATTTCAGGAGTTTCTCCACCACAATTACTATTTGTGAGTATTACAGAAAAAGTGATTGAGTGGTTTGACAAGGGAACAAGGAAAGAGGCTTTACTTACTGGGATTCCATACATGGGAACAACATAGAAAAGGGCATAGAATTTGGGATCTTAGAAATAACTGCAGGTCACTGTTTATACAATTGCTAGAATGGAGATGTTGGAAGTGTTACAGATCACATCTTAGATTTTGGTTGGGCTATTGCTGCACATGGCTTTGAAGGACAGAAGGGGTTTAAGCATGTGTTGGACAATGGGGACCCAACAGGCAGATTCAAATCATAGTTGGTATGGGAGGGAGTATAGTTTGATCTATAGATGAGAAAGTCAGCCTTAGCAGCAGCATGCAGAGGCTGAATGGTGTGGTTAATTTTGGTGGCTAACAAGCACTTGCACTTTGAGAATTTATGTAAAGAAAGACCTTTTTTTTAATGTGTGCTGTGTCACCTTGACTTCTCAAAATTATATGCGAAACCCTGTATGTGTGTATACACTGAGAGTACTTTATGCTTGGGGACTAGAACATGTAATGGATGTGATGCTTTTCTTCATTTCTGCATCATATTTGCACAGCTGAGATTACATTACTTCTCAGTGAATCATGTGCGGTACTACCCTCTGTTATAGCATCCTAAGATAATTGCAAAGAAGAAAATGTTGCACATAGTTGTCTTAGAATGAACTACTGGGTTCAGAAGATTCCTTGCGCTTGAACAAAGGACGTACTCATGGTTGTTTTCACCCTTGCAA